TTAAAAAAACAAAACCAAACCCAAGCTCTTCCCAGGTGGAGGTCTGTCTTCTGCATAGTTGGCATTCCTTGTGGGGGAGGGGAGGCAGGCTGCAAAAGTCCTTTGTATTTAAGGTAGAGTTGGATAATTGCATTCTGAGCTTTTTCCATTTGGCAAACATTGTCCTTCAGGGCTTTATTTATCAGGGCATTAGTACTGCTACTGCAGTTGAAATTGCTCACTGTGCCCACAACCTTCTAGTCAAACACATGAGAAGGGTTTCTACCCTGAGGAGTTGAATAGACAACAGCTGTGGGTTGGGGAGTGACAAAAGCCATAGCTTCTTGCCATAGCTGTGCACTGCACTGACAAGTACAAGATGTCACTGTTCCTAGAAACTTACCTCGTACAAGAGTTTGGATTTTTTTGGCTTATCCCCCAGGCTACAGATAAAGACATTCAGGAAATCTTAAGCTGTTTGGAATGAGGCAGGTGTTTGGGGTTCAGGGAAGTCTGTGTTCATTCCTAGCTGTATGCTTACCACACATCTGTCTCTGGGAGGAGCTGCCAGTGTGCTGGTCTGCAGCACTTTGATGCAGTTGGCAATTGTGTGTGTGGGGAACTTCACTCCCCATTTTGTCTGCTGATGGATGCACGAGACTAGAATGAGATGTATTTGGTAGCCGTGTTGGTCTTAGACAAAAATAAATGATACCTTTTATTAGATCAACCAAGAAATCACAAAAAAATTATCTTTCTTTGTGTATCATCTCTGAACCAAGAGTTCGAGAGTTTTGCATTTCTCGCAGACTAGAATAGCATTTATTTCTGTCTCTGGTGAGTAGGGGCAGGCCTGGCTTCATACCACATGACTCTCTGTTAGGTACTTGTGTGACAAGTGCCTCCATAGTACAGTGAGGTATTGGGGCTGTACCCAGGGATCGGGAGTGCCTCCATGTGTTTTCAGACTACAGCCAAGGTACATGGCAGCCTTCGCAGTCACACAGCTGATGCCGTACCTGCACAATTCACCTTCTCTTAGCTTCCACAGGTCCCTGAAGATTCACCAAAGTCCTGCCCAGCCTGTGTATCTCATGAGCTGGTGGAAGTGCTGAGTAGCAGCCCAGTATATGATTGGTTACCACTTGTCTCTGGTGTCTGGATGTTTCCTCTAAGGTATACTGCATCTTAAAAATAAGGAGTGTAACCCATCCCATTCCAAGCCCCTGGGATTACTAAAACGCAACAAGTAAATCCACTCTACTAGACACTTTGCAGCCCCTAAACCAGAAACTTTCTGCCTTAGGTCGTAACTTGTAAATAAGCAGTTGGGAGTACAATAAAAAATTAAAACTGGAACCTGTTAGTGAATGGAGGCTCTCTTACCTGTCTATCACAGGTAGAGCCAAGCTTGTCTGTTTTGCTGCATTAATGTTCAATGCTAATTAAGCATAGTAAAGAAGGGGTCCATATAAGGTATGGCTTCCTTATGCTAGTGAGCTGCCCCCAACTCTGGCAGGGGAACTGCAGAATCCTGCCATCTGTTTTTGGCAGGTGAATAAGATGGTGACTGCAGTTTACAAATCACTGATGCCATTTGTGTGAATGTATTATCTTAAGCAGTCATCTTTCTCTTTCTTAGACAGATCCATTTGTAGATGGAAATCCACAAATCAGGAATGTTAGTCCCTGCCACAAACTGGGATGGTTTTTTTTCCTTTTGAATGTAAATGGCTTGTGACCTGTAAAGATGAGCTATGTTAGTAAATTTACTTGGGGAAGAATTTGTCACCTGTTTTATCAGCACTTTTGAAGTGTGGCTGTGAGTGCATGAATCCAGATCTAAACGGAGATATCTCTAGACAACTTAGCACCTGTTTTTGAGAGCCCTTTTTATCAGGCTTATAATCATAATTGAGTGAAAAATACCATTGGGAAGGGAAGCAGCAGCATTGAGGTGAGTTTCTTCTACTGTTCAGGATTAGTTTTGAAAGTAGAACTGGTTTGATAAGATGCTTCCTGTTTAAATGTGTGATAAAATATATGTCCTTTGGCCTTAAGGAAGCCCCAGCCAAAAATCTCTTCCCAGTTTAGTTGTTTGGGTGGTTTTTATTACTTTGAAGCTGGGCTTTATCTGCTGGCTTTTCTCAGACCAGTTGGCTGCTTATCACATCTGTAGATCAGATCTTCAAAGGTTTTGTCTGAAGAGTAGAGATTAGAATAAGATGGTGACTGCAGCTTACAAATCACTGCCATGGTGTTATGGGCAGTTGCCTTTGTCTGGAGGTGATACTTGGTGGGGGAGGGGCTCTCCATTCTTTCCTGGCCATGCCTATTGTATGGAGCAGTGCTGCTAGCCAGGGGTGCTGAGACGCAAGTGCTGGCCCACTTTTAGCACACAACGCAAGGGGCGTGTGGGAGAAGGGAGTGCATTCCTAGACACAGACTCACCGCGTTGCTGCTTCCAGCAAAGCTGTGTGAAATGTCAGAAGGAATTACCTCCGTGCTGGAACTGACAGCTGCACCGGGCTTTGCAGTGCTGGTGTTCACTGAACTCCTACAGCCAGGCTTAAAGCTTCAGCTTGGTAGAAGAAAGCGATGATTTCTATTTTCCATAAATGTGGCTGCAGAGATGAGGACTGACAGTCTGGCTCTCTAGCTGAGTGTCAAAAGCAAGTACAGTTGTTTAACCTGCAGCCAGCACCTCCCTGCTGTTCCAGCCCAAAGCTCACTGTGTGCTGTGCGAGACGGTCGCCTCCAGTAAAAGCAGGTTTGGGTAATTCCTTGTCCGGAGTATGGTAGGGATTTTCAGGCTGTTTTGAGACGAGGCAGCTTTTACTGACTATAAATACAGGAGGACTAATAACCGTAGCGGGTGTACTTAGCGTGTTTCAGAGCACTGGACAAACAGTACTGGCATATCAGGGCCTGGGGAGGACTCTGCTGTGCAGGTTCAGCGTCTGACCAGAGGCAGAGCAAGATGAAGTAGCCCTCTGTGGCAGCTGCGGCAGTGACTGCTTGGCTTTAAAACTATTCCCTGGTGCATTGCTGTTCATGAGGTCTGGGCCAGTGAGTTAAACTGTCAGGCTTGGTTGCTTCCTTCTGCCCTGATGCAGCCAAGGCCATAACTGGGGCAATAAGTTGTTCTTCCTCAGGGCGAGCTGCACTGTACAGCTCTTCTTTCTCAAGAGGTTCAGCAAGCAAGTTGAAAGCACAGCGAAGACGGTGTGATACAGCCCACGTCTCTGATCTGGGCGCTGCGTGGTGGGCATTAATCTGACAGATCCAGAGGCTTGGCTTTGTATGTTTAATTCTGCCTCCCCAGACTTCAATGATAGACTACCGCTGCTCTCCAGAGCAGGATTTCATGGTAAGGCACTTGGCTTTTACTTTGGCAGAAGCTTCTACCTTTTGGCTTCCTATCATAGCCTCCCTTTGGCTCACAGCTCCACCCCTAGTGAATAAGGTTTGTTTCCTCACAGCCTCTTTAATCACCCGCATCTGTCTGTGAAGGGCTCCTCCTCCTCTCCCACCCTTGGGTGGAACCTGAGAAGGGAAAGCTAACTTGACAGCAGTTAGCTGGCAGCAGAGCTTGTGAGCACTCCAGCAACAGAATGGCTGTCCAGCAAAGTTAATAGTTAAATTATCCCTCCCAAGGGTGTGATTGCTGCTGAAGTAGAAGAGAAGATGGTTCCAGTCATGGGAGCCAGGAAAGATCTGAAGAGAAATGGGCAGCTCCGGCCCCTGGCACTCCTTGGGCAGCTTCCAAGAGAGGTGAGGAGTCTGAATCAGCACAAGGTGAAGTGAGTCCTTGCTCCTGCCATGCTGTCTGAGTGGAGCTGCTCAGAGGTGGTCGGACAGGTTTGCGGCTGAGTCGGTTGGTTATCCAGTGCTTGAAGATGGGAAGTTACTTGTCTCTCCCAGCTTACTTTGCTTCCAAGGATCCCTTTCGGTAAGTATCATAGGCAGACAGCGTCTTCCCTCAAGGCTGCGTCTCTGCCCAGCGTATCCTATAACGTCATCTTGAGCAGCTGGAATGTCAGGTTCCTGGAGCCAGCTTTACCTCCTTCTGGGGAAATGGCCAGGCTAGGGCAGGGAGCTCTGTACTTTGTGAAGTGTGAAGACCAAGTAGAGTTCTCAAACCAATCGGTGTGCATTTTGTGCTTGGATTGTGCCCTGTACTCTTGCACATAGCTGTTCAGTCCAAATGTATGCGAGTGCCCAGCCTGGATGTGTACCAGCAGCAGGCTCTCAGTGCAGACCATTGGCACCAACTTACCCACTACCTGCCAGGCAGAAGCCAGAAAGAATGTGATTTTTTTTTTTTTTTTATGGGCATCCTTAACGTCTTTCCAGACAGCTCATTTGCATCAGGCCCACAGATACACGAGTGTCATGTGCTCTGTGCTGCTATGAGTCTGAGCAGTTGATAATCCGTAGCCATGAATGTGCAGTCGTATCTGATTGGGGAAAAAAAATCCCGTGCTTTGCAAGCAAATCAGTAGCTCTCTCCCCTCCCCCTCCCTCCAGCCCCTGGATGATTCAGAACATCACTGTTTGGTTTACGTAAAATCCCTTTCTGTATTTGAATGTTGGGCACATGGCCCATTCAGATGCTTGAGTTTGAGAGCACTCAGGGCTTCAATTGCACTAGTACCTCTGTTAGGAAACTGCTTTTAATGCTCTCCCTGCAACTGTGGTTTTGTTAGCCTGAGAGATCAGGGAGAACTTTGATTAAAACTACCTGTATCTGAAAGCCACTTGAGGCTTGTGCCCCAGTTTCATTGGGCACCTGACACTGTCCTGTTCACACTGGCTTGCCCAGCTCCACAGTCAGGGTTTTAGAAATCCATTCCCCACCACTGGGTGGGGAGAGTAGCTAGCAGCAGTCTATCCATGGTATGTATACGTGTGTTGGCATACGGTCTGAAAGGTGTGTTTCTGTTGAGTCCGGGAGGTACCATAAGAAACAGACATGTGGAAGGAGAGCCTACCTCCCTTGTCTTCTGTTTGTAACACGTAAGAGGTGTGTCCTAGTGTCTTTGCCATTACCCTGGTAATCTCCAGGGTATTAGACAGTGTTCTTCTGTTGAGTTCTGAATGGGGAGGAGAAGCCAACCCTTTGGTTAGGGTTAAGGAGTATACTGTGTTTCCACTTGTTTCTCTCTAGGTGCCTCTTTTTTCCCTACCCTTGGAGATGTAAGTGCCACTCTTTTGAAGCCATCTTGGGTTCAGCTGTCTAGCCTGACGGTCCAAGAGCAGTTCCAATTAATAAACACTTTTGAAGGGGGCCATTCCTGTTGGTGTGGGCTTTTTTTTTTTCATAAACACCCTGGCTTTCTTTAGGTGTAAAGGAGGTGGCTTGTCTGCCTTGTGAGTCAAAGGGTCAGGCATGTAGCAGCCTTCCCCCAAAGCTGAGCATTCAGCAAGGGACAGGGATGCCTTCCACTCTGGGCTCCTGCTGAGTTACAGAATGAAGCAGCCTTGGGGCCAAACGCTGCAAAGTGCAGATCTTCAGCTGAGATGGAACCTGTTTCTCCAACGTCTCAGAGAGGCTGAGGATAGGAGCTGCAGGGGACATGGCAGGGTTTGCATAAGCAGCTTGTTCACGTGAACATGGGTCAGTTTGGGCAAAATCCAGCTCTTTCCTGCAGCTGCAAATGCTCCTGCTGTTTATCCCCCTTCACTCTTGTGTGAAGCAGGGAAAAGAGCAGCCCCTCCTAGGTAGCTGTTAAGGAACTGTATTGTGCTGCATGGCATCCTGTGGAGCAGCAGGGTTGTAGCGTCCTTGGATTCCCACCAACATTGCTCCTTTGGTAGAGCAACTTGAGGCTGGTCTTTTGTAGATCTGACCTGCTCCCGCCATGTTCTGAGCCTCCCCCTGCCCATGAGGCAGCTGAATTTGTGTAATGGCTTTGGCATTTTGTGGCACAGCCCATAGCTGAGCTGCATTCACTTCCACCCCTTTGAGCTGCATTTCCAAGGTTACTGGAGAATGGGCACGCTTTTCAGGAACGTGTTGCTCTTTGGTCAGCCCAAGTGATGGCAGAACTCACTTGATCTCTCCAGAACTTCCCTTCCTAGGCCTCAGTGCCCTCTACAGAAGGTGGAGGGGTCTCCTCTGGAAGTCAGAATCCTGACAAGTGTGTCTGTGCTCATAAAACTGTTCCACAAGAGCTAGCTGGTTATGTAGCTGTGCACAGTATTTTGCTGTACCTAGAGCTTGGAAATCTTCCACCAATGGTGTCCCAGATAGAGTGAGAAAAGAAGCAGTCAGAAATTCCTGTGGCTGTGATAGCAGAAGGCAGATTGCAAGGGGACATGAGTGGTGCAGAGGATGGGCGTTTGTGGTTCCTGACGAATCGGCACATTTCAGTTACTCTAAGCATGCAATGAGGAACAGATCCCCTGGGATTAAACATGTGCTGATCTTCCCATGGGCTTCAACAGATGTGTGGGGGGAAGAGTGGATTTTTCTCCCCAGCTGGTGTGAGGAGGGTGGGATGGAGTGGCTGAGAGAGAGTAGCCAATAACTCCCTGCACTGGTGTCCTAGCTGGTTTGGCATAAGCCTAGAGATTTATTTCTTGAGGTCTGTGCTAACTTCCATTCTGATTGCAATGGAGGGGAGATGGCAATATTTTTGTAGAGAGAGGGGGAGCCTCCCTTCTTTTACATCTCCATACAGGAACTTAAAAATCATCTAGGAAAGGATGCATACCTATAGCAGTGAAAGAGCCATTTGTGACTTCTGTGTAGACTCAAGAGAAACCTGATGCTGTTTTCTCTATTAGTCAAGGTGTGGTCAGTGGTAGTAAAAGGGGGTATCTTGTGGTATGGTGTTTAACAAGTTCCTTCTGCCAACAGTGACTCATGGGGCATTTAACAATGGCTTGTGTTTCTGACTTGTTGCACTTTGTTGCACGTAGTGTTGCCTCATTGTTCTGGGTGGGGTTTTGAGCCCTTTAGCTGCTATCTTATCCTGTCCAGATTTGTTTAATCGCATAGCAAAGAGCTGACTGCTTGCAGTCTCCACCCCGCTTCACCTTCCCTTTACTGTGGGCGTGCAGCCTTAGCAATACCAGAACTCTTATTTCCAGGTGGAAGCTGGTAATCAAACTGCTCTGATAATGAGACTGGGATGATGGGGAAAGGCTAGGATGGGACACATGGAAGTTGTTCAGGGAGCTGCGAACCATTATCTGGAGCTATGGCCATGTGACCTCATTGAAACTGAGAATTAAGTAAGAAAAAAACCCAAGGCTATGACCTTGGGGGTTGCTTGGGTAGGGTCTTAAAGTAGCAATGTAGATGGATAAGCCACGGAAGGCCCTGCTGGCACTCTCCAATACTACTCTCTTCCTGTCAAGTGCAGGTCTGATCAGGACTCCTTGTTGTCTGAAGATGTAATCTCTCTCTCTGCTTACGCTGGTACAGACATGCACGGGCAGTAGGAGAGTTCTGAAGAATTGTATTTTTTCTAGTGTTGAGCCAGGTGTTCCAGCAGCGTGCTGATCTGCATCTCCGCTGCTCTCATCCCCCACCCACCACCTGGATCTTGCAACCCAGGGCTGTTTACAACAAGGAAAGCCAAAGGACGGCAGCTGAAAGAAGGCCATGTTCTGCTGCCCCTCAGGGGTTGTGTGCATGCCATTAAGATGGTGTATTCTTTGCAGTACCCTAAGGCCAGACGCTACAATATCAAATGCGCCCAGTCTCTTTCCTCTTTAGGCAGCACCTATTACATGTTGTAGCACCCTGCAGTGAAGAATCCTTAAGGTTTCATGAATACTGTGAAAGTGAACTGCTTTTCAGGGAGTCCATTCCCGTCCCTCCAGGGAAACAAGAGTCAGTATCTTGTAATTCAGTCACTTCCCTCAAACTACACATGAACTGTAAACAGCTTCACCTTGTTCTTTCTGCATCCACATGACATGGAGCAAACAGCTTTCCATGCTGGAGCAGAATCTGGGTCTCCTTTCTTTAATGCACATTCTCCTTTTACATCCCACGTGCGCAACACCTATGGCATAGTTGAGTCCATCCAAAGCTCACGTTTTCGTGAGGTTTCTGGCTGTAGTCATCTTGACGGATGACATGATGCTGGGGGCTTTAAACCAGGAGGTGGGTGCCAGTAGCTTATATGGGGGTGGTAGGGGAGAGACTAGGGGCTCTAGTCATGTCACAAAGTAGGCCCTGCACTTTCCAGGTGCCAGTCTGATCCCCTTCCTCTGCCCAGTCTGCTCTGCTTTCTGCTCTCTGTTCTATCTAATGCTGTGCCCTGCTCCCTCCCTGTTCTGCTGTGTGCCATGCAAAGGCTGCCTGTGTCACTTGTGGCATGCTTGCCTCTAGGGGAATGAGAACAGATCTCATCTCTCTGTCCTCTTTCCCTTATT